CTCAGGAGCCGTGCAGGCTGCTGGGCCTCTGCTGCCAGTGCTTGGTCCTCACATGTTGGTAGAGAGCTGGACCCCAGCTAGGAACCTGGGGCTGACGAGGCCTTCAGAGTGCTCTGCCATTCCATGACTGGGTTGGGTTGAAGTATGCCTGCTCCATCTCCCTCTCGGAGGTACTTTCTTCACCTTGTGGTTTCCATAGGGTTTTTTTGTTTTGTTTTTTGTTTTGATGGAGGGATTTCCCTGAGAAAGCCTGGCTCAGCCTCACCTGGTAATACTGGCGATGGATTCTTTTTTGGGGGGCATTGCTTTTCTTTGGCTTCAAGCTAGGGGTGACCCATGAGCTCCCCTCCTTTCTGTGGACTATCCTCTCACCCTAGCCTCTCCCTCACTCTTCTCTCTGGTACACTGAGCACAGTGGATCTTTTCCGATTCCGCAGCTTAAAGATGAAGCGACCTGAGGTCAGCTCCTCATTCATGCCAGAGTGCCCACCTTTGTTGACCGTGCTCACAGTGGCCACCTCTTCCCGGCTGCTGGAAGCTTGGGGCTGCAATCTGGGGTTACGCAGTGTCCTTCCAGGAAAATGCTGTCCTCCTCTCTATTTCCTCATGGTGCTAGTATCTGTTCAGCTCTCCTTTCTGAGAGGGAGGTGCCTAGTCCTTTCAACTCCAGCTACAGGTGCTGACTCTGAAGGGGCCACAAGGGGCACAACTTTGGACGTAGTTTCTTGGTAATTCAATGGTAGGCAGGAAAAATGGTGCCGCTCCTAACGGGAGCAGGAAATGCAGGAGTGCCGGCGTTCGGCGTTCGGCGTGCCCATGCACTGACGTCTGGCGTCTGTAAAGGGCGGTGCAGTGAGGGAGGGGTTGTCCACCCTGGGAACTTCAAGCTCTGTGAAGTGTCCAGAGGAAAGGCACCTTGGAGGTAAAGGCACCTGCTGTCATGCCCGATAACATGAAACCTGTACCACATAATAGAGGAGAGACCGGGGCTCCCAGCAAGGTTCTGTCTGATCTCCACACACACACACACACACACACACACACACACACACGCACACGCACGCACACTACAGTATAACGATTTTTAAAGAAGTATTTTTATTTAATTTTGAAGTTACGTGTATGTGTTTGTGTCTTTGTGTGGGTTTGTGCACTGAATTTCGTTGCCCGCAGAGGTCAGAAGAGGATGTCAGACTCCCTGGAGCTGGAGTTACAGGTAGTTGTGAACTCCTGATGTGGGTACTAGGAGCTGAGCTCAGGCCCCCTGAGAAAATCACGCTGAGCCATTCTCATTAACACTGCCACAGTCCACTCTCTGACCCCACAGGCTTGCAGTCATACCATACTGCAAAATGGATTTAGTCCAACTTCAAAAGCCTTTCAGTCTCAACAGTTTAAAAGTCTAAAGTCTCCTTTGCAACTAAGGCAATCTCTTTACTGTAACCACTTGCAAAATCTAATAAAAACGTACTATAAACTTCCAACACATAACGACAGAGAATACACGTTACCATTCCAAGAAGGAGGAAAAGTGGCATAGTGAAGAAGTACTGATAACAGCAAGATGGAAATTAAGCGTGGCACAGTCCAAATCCTGTAGCTCTGTCTCCAGCGCACAGAGCTTAGCAGGCCCTTTTCCCCCAGCTTTGCTCCCTCATGTTCCAGCCCCTGTGTGCAGCCTTCACAGACACCCATGGCTCTGGCATGTCTCACATCTTGGCATCTCCCGGCAACCCAGGCTTCACTCTCACAGCTTTGTACATTGGGCTCTCAGGGCTCATGGGCCTCCAGGGGCCTCCATGCAGGGCCTTCCCTGTCACATACTGCCTGGCCTCAGCAGCACAGAGGAAGATCCCGAAACCTCTGTCCTCATGTCCCTTTCAGGACTCTGAAGCTAGAACCATGTGGACAACAGATTCAGATTCTGCTGACCCTTGACTCACGTTTGCAGTGTCTTTCGTTTGCTGCTTTTTAGGAGCAGAACGTTCCTTGTGATGCCCCTTTCTCTCATAAGCTGGGAGCTTAGCTTGGGATCCTGTCCCAAGGACACCTTCCCTTTATTCCACTCTGGACCAGGCCTTTCTTTAATCCCCTTTCCCTTTCAGTACAAGCCTTGGCTCCAGAATTAAATTTTCTGGTGCTTTTTTTTTCCTCCTCAAACTGAACATTTTGTATTTGTACTTTTACGTAAGTGTGGCCATGGACAACTGCATAACAAAGTTGACGTTAGGCTGTCTTGAAATCCCTTCTGCCAGTGAAGTCAATCCCTTGCTTTTAAATTTCGTTTCAGGCAGATTCTTATTCTTATGATATCAAGGACAGATATCAGTTACAGTCTTCGCCAAAGTATCACGAGAATGGTCTCTATCTGGGTTACAAATAGTGTTCCCCTGTGGAAGCTTTTGGTGGGGCTTCCATAGTCCACAGCACTGTCTTCCACACTCCTACTAGGATGCCACTTTCCCAGCTCACAGTCCCATTGTCTTCTTCATTCCTCAAAAACCCAGCAAGGGCGGGTTTGTCTAGCTTTATCCCCCTCCTGGTACCAAATTCTGCATTAGTTACTTTTCTATTGCTGTGACAAATACCACGAGCAAAGGAACTCATAAAACCATTTAGTTGGGCTTATAATTTCAGGGAGTTAGAGTCCATGATGGCAGAGTGAAGACATGGTGGCAGGAACAGCCTAGAGTTCACATGTTGATCCACACCCCTGAAGCAGAAAGAGCACACTGGAAATAGCATGGGCCTTTGCAATCTTACAGCCCACTCCCAATGACACACCTCCAACAAGGCCACACCACTAATCTTTCCCAAACAGTTCCATCAGCTGATTGAAGTATTCAAACCTAAAGGCCAAAGGAGGCCATTCTCATTCAAGCTGCCACAGGTTATCTTCACCCAAGAATCCTCACATGTCTGTTGTTGTAGGCAGGTTAGTCATGTGGTGTGCCTCAGGTGTACCCTTTTTAGAAGTGACAAAAATGAGGATAGGAATGCAGCTCAAATGCTCCAGGTCACACAGGGAGCAGGCAAAGGGTCAAGTCCTCTAGTAAAGTGTGAACAGCTTGAACTCTATCATTTTTTCTCTAGCTGCCCTGAGAGGCACGTCACCATTTTTCATAGACAAGCCAAGTCCAGAGGGTTGTCTCAGCAGGTAGGGTGGACCCTGTGCACGGGATACTATTGAAAAGGAATCTATTTCCTCTTGGCTTCTACCCTGTGGCTTAGCCCTTACTGGCAAAAGTGAGTTTCTTCCTCAGTGTCACAACACTAACCTGACTGATCACACACTCAGTGAGAAAAAGAGTGCAGAAGAGAAAAGAAAACCAGATTTGGGTGTTAAAAGAATAGCCTCACAGCATTCATAGGCATCTAAAATTTCAGAAAACTCTGTGTGCTTCTGAGTTCACTACTTTTCTCATTGCTATGACCTGATGAGAAGTGGCTGAAGAGAGGAAGGTTAGTTTTAGCTCATGATTTGAGGTTGTACTCCATTTTGGTAGGAAGATGAACGAGCCGCTGGGAGCAGCTGTAACTGTGGTTGCAGGAGGGTGAGGACGTTTGCTCAGCTCTTGTGGGTCAGGAGGCAGAGAGCACAGGAAGAGGACAGTGCCTCAGTCCGACCACTCACCCCAAGAACTGGCTTTGAGGAGCTGGTTCCCATCTTACAAAGGGCTCTACAACCTTCTGCAACAGCACCATCAGCCGTGGACCAAGGATTCCAACACATCAACTTCAGTTCTTTATTGCAATGCTTTTAGTTACCGTTTATTCACTTTGTAACCCAGCTGTAGCCCCCTCACCCTTCTCCTCCTAATCCCACCTCCCTCCCTCTTCTCCTATGCCCCTCCCCCAGTCCAATACCTTCCATCTTACGTTTAAAGTCCTGGAGAGATCAGGGATACAAGGAACTTAAGTTCTTAAGAGTTGCTTTTTGAGCACGCTTAATTAGCACAGAGGCATCTGTGGACAGTCCTGAGCTTATACCCAGCATGTGCGGCCTGCAGACCTGCAGGCTGCCCAGCTGGGTCACTCTGTGTCATGGAGTCATCGGAGGGTATATGGGGAGATCTGGCCCCATATACAATGGACGAGGAGTCTGGATGCTCCACCAGTGCAGGGCTGGCGGCCCCCAGAGCTGGGACCAGCGTCTAGAATCTCAGAGCTCACAGTGTGCTACAGCGCAGTGTGGCAGGCTGTCCTGTGTGTCTCACTGTCGAGGCCTGGCCTCCATTTCTGGGTGCTGAAAGGTTCCAGAGTTTTCCAAATTCGGGATCTTGTCATGTTTCTCATCTCCCTGGCACATCAACTCATGAATATTTATTTTTAATTTTTTAATTTTTAATTACGCTTTATTTACTTTGTATCCCCCCTCTAGTTCCCTCCCTCCTCCCCTCCCAATTCCTCCCTTCCTCCCCCTTCTCCACACACTCCCCTCCCCAAGTCCACTGGTAGGGGAGGGTTTCCTTTTCTTCCTTCTGATCCTAGTCTGTTCGGTCTCATCAGGAGTGGCTGCATTGTCTTCCTCTGTGGCCTGGTAAGGCTGCTTCCCCCTCACGGGGAGGTGATCAAAGAGCAGGCCAATCATGTCAGAGACAGTCCCTGTTCCCATTACTATGGAACCCACTTGGACACTGAACTGCCATGGGCTACATCTGTGCAGGGGTTCTGGGTTATCTCCATGCAGGTTACTTGGTTGGAGTATGAGTCTCAGGAAAGACCCCTGTGCTCAAATTTTTTGGTTCTGTTGCTCTCCTTGATGAATATTTTTTAAAAGTTCATTTTAAAATTGTGTATATATGGGGCTTGATATCATTCCATACACATATGTAATGTGTAACATTCACACTGATTCACAATTCTATTTTCTTAAACATCCGTTTTCCCTTTGCATTGGGAACTTCTTTTGGTAAGCTTTAAAAGCTTTTATTTTTTATCGTGGTGCCCACTATTCTGCCTTCTGACTCTGTACTGGCCGCTTGTCTTTGTTCCTTCAGATGGTCAGCGTGAAGATGAGGCTGATCTATGCGCTCATCCTGGTGATCGGGGCACTGTGCTTGTACTTCAGTATGGAGCCTTTCAAAGAGCTGCAGTTCGTTTACAAGCAAAGCCACGGGAAGTTCCTCCAGCTTCCGGATATAGACTGCAAGCAGAAGCCACCTTTCCTCGTGCTGCTGGTGACCTCATCCTACAAGCAGCTGGCCGCTCGCATGGCCATCCGCAAGACGTGGGGCAGAGAGATGAGCGTGCAGGGGCAGCAGGTGAGGACCTTTTTCCTTCTGGGGGCCTCAGACAGCAGCGACGAGATGGATGCCATGGCAAGGGAGAGCGAACAGCACCGAGACATCATCCAGAAGGACTTCAAGGACGCCTACTTCAACTTGACCCTGAAGACCATGATGGGCATGGAATGGGTCTACCACTTCTGTCCCCAGGCAGCCTTCGTGATGAAGACAGACTCAGACATGTTTGTGAATGTCCCCTACCTGACTGAGCTGCTGCTGCGGAAAAACAAAACGGCCAGGTTCTTCACAGGCTACATAAAGCCCAACGACTCCCCCATCAGGCAGAAGTTCAACAAGTGGTTTGTGAGTAAGTTTGAGTACCCCTGGGACAGGTACCCACCGTTCTGCTCGGGCACCGGGTACGTCTTCTCCAGCGACGTGGCCATCCAGATCTACGAGGTGTCGGAGAGCGTTCCGTTCATCAAGCTGGAGGACGTGTTTGTCGGGCTCTGCCTGGCCAAGCTGAAGATCCGGCCTGAGGAGCTGCACAGCAGGCAGACCTTCTTCCCGGGCGGCCTGCGCTTCTCCGTGTGCCGCTTCCGGAGGATCGTGGCCTGCCATCACATGAAGCCCCAGGACCTGCTCCTTTACTGGCAGGCTCTGGAGAGCTCTCAGGAGCAGGACTGCCCCTCCGTCTGAGGGGAGCCTGGTGGCACCGGGACAAACTCCAGAACTTTTGGTGATGATCCGGTCTTGCTGGGAACTGCCAGGGGTAGAGCAAGGACCAGGACGACAGTGTGCTGCCTCGGTGCCCTGCACACGCGAGAATGGACACACATGCAGAGCAACGGCTTGCTCCCAGCTGGCATCCAGAGCAATAACAGATTTCAGGCCTTTGCACTATGTCCTCAGACTTGCCTTCACCCGCTCCTTTCAGGGCTCAGCATACATATGAAGCCATGGACCTGACTCATCATTCTCACTTCACAGGTTAGGGACCGGCAGCCAGGGACACTTCCTTGTCCAAAGATGCATAGCCAGCAGACGGAGCAGGAATAAGAATTGAGTGCTGTCAGAGTTCAGGGTGGCTGCCCCCGGTGTCCCATCCCTTAGGAGAGGGTGGTGGTAAAGTCTTAGGGGTAATTAGCATCCCTCAGTCCCTTTCCTGACTCCTCTGCCCCCCACTTGCCTGACATATCTGGGCACTGAGCCTGTGTTAGCCAGCTGGTACCCGTTGCGCCCTCAGTGTAGTTCCAGGAGACACCTGCAGCCTGCAGCCACCGTAGCTCACTTACATGCTGGAAGGAAACTGAGTTACATGAGCCTAAAAGTCAGGCTGAGAAGCCGCTGCCGAGCCTTGCTGTATGAACTGAACACACTGCTGATGCCCAGTAGGTGCTGTCTCCACTGAGCCTTCCGGGGCAGCTGGTCTCTGCTGCAGATGTACTGATGGACGGGTGGGGACCAGCTGGAGGCCCAGAGCACTTCAGATCTCTAAGTTCACACTCAGGGGCCTCCAGGCTCAGGCATGGTCTGTGTGGTATCCAGGGTGCCCCTGGGTCCTGGGCTGGGTTTAAGCTCCTGGGCTACCGAGCATGGAAGTAGGCCCAGGCTGGGGCTCTTCCCATGTCAGTGGTCCTTCCTGACCCTGTCTCTTCACATTAGATTTGTCACGTGGTCATAGATATGCTGAGTGTTGCCTTTTGGAATTTAACTTGCTATTCCCAGCTTCTATCCTCATCTCTGAAGGTTTTCAGAGCCGGGTGAAAACAGGGTCCTGCGGCCATGCAGCCACCGTCACCAGACATGTCGCCGTGCTCTGTGTTGCAGGAAGTACTGCTTTCTCCCACTTTTAACTTCACTAGATTTTACTATGTGCTTAGAGCAAAGGCTTCCTGGGACCGGGTAGCTGTAAATGTTGGGATACGCTCCCACCTGAACTCAGGGACACTTCGTGGTCAGAACACCGTTAGGTTGGAGGAAGCTGGACCCTGCCTCCGGGGCCTCATTCCACATTTGTTTCTGTCCCTTCTCTAAATTTCTTCTTCAACTGTTGGGGAAAATTCTTCTGCCTGTGACACTCTTCAAAATCGTATAGTGCCGAGTTCAGTACCCATAGTTCAGAATGTGTGGAAATCTGAACCAGGTGAAGAGTAGGGGAAATTGTCCCCAGGTAGGGGCCACGTCCACTATCCAAACCCAGCCCAGCCAGTCTTCTGACGGGGTGGGGGTGTGGTGTGAGGAAGCCGAGGCTTGTAACAGGATGGTGGCTTTGCTGTTTGGTGGGTGGAAGAGCGGGCATCAGAACTCGGCACTAGCTGCTCTGCCTCAGACCTTCCCTCTCTTCATTCATTCATCAGCCACATTGCTCATGGCCCCACACACGTCAGCAAGGTCAGGGTTGGGGGTCTGCACGCAGCAGGCCTGAGCGCGCACAATGCTGAGGGGAGGGGAGGGCACATCCTTTGGGCATGTGTAGTGTCCTGGAGCATAAGCAGATGTCCCTGTGCCCACAGCTGCTGTTGCATTGAAGATGTCGGGCGTCCTTAGGCAGCAGCCATTCTTCTTTCCTTTAAGCAAACCGGGTGTGGGCAGAGGCAGCTGAGACCTGGCCGTGCACCGTAACACAGCTTCCCGCGCTTCTCTCCGAAGCGTGGGGCTGGTGCTACCCCGAACCCCGGCCTCTCCCTCCCCTGCACTCGGCTGCTTCTGTCCTGCTGTTGTCTTAGTGCCGCTCTGCTTCCTGGTTCTGCCTGACCCTGTGGCTTTACCCTGGGGTCTCCGTGGAATTCCCACAGACCCATGGTTTAGACTAGCCTTCTCATGAGGTCATGTGTGTCTCCCACATGCACGAATGACAGAGCCAGGCCTCCACCTGCAGGCGCCAGGATAGTTTTACTCGGGAAGTGACACAGCAAATGCCTCCAATCCCTTCTTAGTGTGCGACATGGCCTTTGCCCGCTCTGCTGCACAGGGCCAGGGCCGAGGGCCAGGTGTGCTGTGGTGGGGACATGAGCCGAAGCCGTGGCCCACAGGTACATCTAGAGGCTCTCCGGAGCAGGCTCCAGGCAGAAGTGAAACATGCATGCCACCCTTCCCACGTGGCTTTTACCGTCACAGCGGCATGGGCGATGGCGGCGTGGTGCCCGCTGCAGTCTCAGGACGCAGTTTTGAAAACACAAGGCCGAGCCTCGGACACCCTCTAGATCCTCCAGTCTTCAGCCTTCTCGCAGACTGAAGAGTTAACAAGCCTAATTTAATACGGGAGCTGCTGAGCATCGCTTAAAAAATAGATGAGGTCTGGCTCACATGTTTCCCGTCCCTCCATCCGGAAGCACGTGCTTTCTCTCACCATGTTTTCAAAATTCAGTTAATTTTCTGTATGCACCACATTAGGGCTGGTGTCTTAGCCTTTTCTGGGCTGGTCTCTCAGGTGGATTTGGAAGCTTACGCCTCTCTGGCGGGGCTCAGGTGTAGTGGGAGACGCCTGTCATTATTCCCAGTCCTCAGGAGACCGGAGCCAGCCTGCCGCCCTTCGAGGGTCCCCTCTGGCCTGGGTGAGGACCGTCATGTGGGCTGGGGTGCTCGCTGTCGGTCCTGTTCCGTCCCTGACACCCACACGGTAAAAGGGGAGAATTGATCTTTACATGTGGGCATGTGCACACCAGTAAGTAAAATCTAAACAAAAGTAATTTTTGTCAAGGCGTCTTCAAACACTGACTTCCGAGGCTCCTGGCTTAGTTTTGTTTCTGTGTGCTTCTCCATGTGGCCAAGCCCTGTGTTGAGCGTGAGCACAGGTGAGGAAAACAAGACAAGACAAAACAACAACAACCAAAACCAAAACCAAAACCCTCTCAGTTTGCAAGGTGCCGTCCGTTTGGTTGCGAATGTGACAGGGAAACCTGTTGGGGGCTTGCCCAGGTCTCTTTAGCTTCCCGCCTTTTATTCTAAGGCCCAGGTTAGGCCCCTCGGGGAGCCTGGGATTGTCCTGGGGGTGAACAGTGAAACCGTCCAAGCTCAGAGCAGGGCTGTACGAGCCTGAGGCAAACGGGCTGGAATTCAGCATGACAACAACAGTGGAAGGTTTGAACTCAAGTAGCAGCAGCATCTTCTAATTACCGGGCATAATCATCTTAAATACAAGTAGGGAAATGGACTCTGTAGCCAAACGTTTTTGTGTGGTATGGTTTGGTGGTTTGTGGTGCTGGGATGGAGCCCGCATGCCTGTCAGGGCTCCCCCAGTGTGTCTCCCAGTCCCTGCTGAGTTGGTTTGCACGCCACATTCTACTACCTCTGACAGGAGTCATGGGGTCAGCGCCTCACGCCTGCAGTTCGAATGCTGGGTAGTTTAACTGTTAACTTGACACAGCCTACGATCCCTCTGGAAGAGTTTTAGTGAGAAATTATGGGTTTTTTATTAACTGATGTAGGAAGCCTCAGCCCGTGTGGGTGACGCTGCCCGCTGCCAGGATGTCGTAAGCAGTGTGAGGAGACAGCTGAGGGCAAGCAAGTGTCCACGCTTGACCTCTCTGCTGGGACTGCGCGTGTGCCCGGCGGCTTTCCGTTCCTGCCTTGACACCCTGCGCTAACAGCTTGCAACCGGAACTGTGAGCTAAGCTACCCCTTTCTTCTCTAAGTTGCGTCTTGCCTGGGTTTAGTCACGGTAACAGAAACGAAGTTAAACAGATGCTCAGGGCGGTGCTCATGTGGGATGAGCCCTTCCTATGCCATCATGCTCCTGAAGCCATTGCTCGTGCCAGCCCTCTGCCACCAGCAGACGCGAGCCCTAAACTGCTTACTTTCTGCTTAGGGAGTACCTGAGGGGAGCAAGGACTCATTTCCCCCGAGAACAGAAGATACAGAAAATCCCCTCCAGGACTGGGACTGACCACTCTGCAGCTGTGGGCACTTTGTGGTCAAATCTGATTTTCTAACGGATAAAAATATTAAATGTCTGTGTCGTTGAACGGTGTTTGAAACTGTCATTTGCCTGTCTGGGAGGAGGTCCTACAGGCTCTGTTTCTGTATTCTGGGAACGGGTATATATGTTTATGATTCGTTAATGATATTTATCTTTAATAAAAATTAAGTTATGAGCAGCATGATGTATGTGGGTGGTTCTAACCTTCAGCTCCTCTGAAGTTAGCAGTGTGGGTAGACTAATTTAGACCCAAATTGGGCTTTTTTTCTTTTTAATTGATGTTTTTGTCTGGAGAAACTTTTTTTTTTAAATTTGGCTTTGATTTTTTATGCTTAGAAAAGTATTGCTGAAGAGCCTTGCTTATCTTTGAAAGATCATAGAACTCCTTGTTTCTATTGATTTTTTTGGAAGCAAAGCCATAAAGCTCTACAGTTTGGGGGTCTTTCAGGGGAGTCAGCGTCTGGGGAGCAGTGGGGGGCTGGGGGTAACATTAAATCCAGACATTAGCAGGCAACCATCTTTTGGAGTTGTTTTTTCCTCTGGCATTGTTTTCTTTGTTCAAGCTTAAGAAACTGATGTAAGGAATTGACTGTGCCTTCGGCTTCTTTGATGATTACTTGTTTGGGAGGTGCAGTCTGGATCTCTCGGGTGTCACTTACACAGAAATAAAGCCATGCAGCAGAAGCATCTCCCTCTGGCTTTAGCACAACTGTCACAGATCTAACGCTGCAGCCCTTGAGTCAGTGTGGCCTTCCTCCACACTGCCTGCCCCCTCTGCAGGCTTCCGAAACCAAGAAAAGCTGCAAGCAGCAGGGAGGCCACGGGGCTGTCTGTGGAGGTGCAGGATGGCTGGACACAGCTTCCGGCCGCCCTGCGCTTCCCCTGCCCTCCAGCTACAGCTGGCCTGTCCACGGCAGTGCGCAGACTCCGAGGTCCCTTGAAGGCTGCTCCGTGCCACCCGAATGCCTGCCTTGCTGCCTCTGCACCTAGGCTCCCCCTGGCATCTCTTCTCGCCCCTCTGCGGCTCCAGCGCCCTCCCTCCCTTTCACAGTCCCGCAGTACACAGAATGCTCTCTGTTTACACGTTTTCAGACCTCCCCTCCAGCTCTGCCTACTTTTTCTTTTTCTCTTAGTGCAAAAACGCTTCCAAAGAACGCCTTCCCCGGGCTGTCTGTTTTCAGCTTGTTTCTCTCACCACAGCCTCTCTGCAGTGAGATGGGAGGTGGAGACTCCCGGAAGCTTGCAGGCCACGTGTCCTTGTGTACAAGGTGGGAGATGCCTCAAATAGGGTGGAGGGCAAGGCTTGACACCAGAGTGGTTGCGTGACCTCCGCAAGTGGACAAAGACAGGGAAACTCTCTCTCTCTCTCTCTCTCTCTCACACACACACCAAAGGAAAACAGAACTGTGCCATCAGTTATTTCCTGCCCACTGGAAGACAATTTGGAGGAGCTGGTTCTCTTTCCAGCATGTGGGTTCTGGGAATCAGACTCGGGCTGGGCGGTAGGTGCCTTTACTGACTGAGCGTTTCCCCAGCCCAGGCGACACAGCACTGGTCGGATGAAGGAGCGTCCGGTCGTTGTCACCCTGACCTGTGCTGCCCTGTGGCTCAGAACTGTCAGAGGGACAGAAATCACTTAGGGGGTTCTACAGGCCTGTTCTAGGTTTGTCGGTTATTCTAGTCTGCATGCCCCCACCTTATCACCAACATCTGTGACCCAGGGACAGTGTCCCTCCTGTCTGGCCTGCACGGGCAAGGGTGGACTAATCACGGTCAGCCCCTCAAGGTAGTGCTGTTTCTTCTGTCCTTGTCTGGGTGCACTGTGGTCCTGTAGGCTTTTGTCAGTGAGATAGAGTTTGAACTTGGCAGTTAGATCTCTCTCTGTGGTGGGTCCCAGGCCACTCTCATTTGGGTCATTTTCATTTTAGTGTACTCAACAGCAGAAATTCTGGTAATGTTCATCTCAGGTGAGAGCCAAGAACACCAGACAGGGAGTGGCCTCGACATGAGCAGCCCAGTTCTGTGTTACTCAGATGGTGAAGCTGAGTTCCAGGGCTCTGGCTACCAGAGACAACACCAGAACCAAACAAGGCTTTCGACTCATTTCTTCCTTCCTGGCTTGAAATCTTGAATGCTACATTAAATCATGGTGCTCAGGCAAGCTAGTGCTTTTCTGTGATTTGCTGGTCCCGAAGTGTGGGAAAGGAGACCCCATGCACGAGAAGCACTCACTTCAGGGTCTTGGAGAGTGGAAACAGGTTGTCAGAGGAAAGAGTTCCAACTCCAGGCCTTACACCAGAAATCCAGATTATGGTGGAAGCTGAGTATCTTCAAGGAGGCCCAGCAGGGATAGATTGATGTCAATGATGGTGATGATGATGGTGATGGTGATGCTGCTGCTGCTGCTGGTAATGGTGATGATGGTGATGGTGGTGATGATGATGATGGTGATGGTGATGATGGTGATGGTGATGATGATGATGGTGATGATGGTGATGGTGATGGTGATGATAGAGATGATAGTGATGATGATGATGTTCCTTCAATGATGAATAGTGATATGTAAGTATAAGCTGAGTACCCCCCCCCCCCCCCCCCCCACTGCGCAAAGGGCTCTGTGATGTCTAGCCGTGTGTGGCTGAGAAGTCAGATGTGATTAAGCGGAGACCAGCATAAAATAAAGTCTTCTAGCAGTATGTCCTCAGGATCACACACGGCGGCTGCTGCCAGAGAAGGCCACAGCTGCATCTGATGCTGGTGGCTGAACTTGTCCACCAGCCAGAGTTTTCCAGGTGGTGCTGGTTTTAGCAGCATGAGTGCAGCAGAGCTGAGGGGTCATGAAGAGCAGCTGAGGCCTGGGCCATATGGCAGAATGGGAGTGTCTGATGAGTGATCAGGAAGCCATTCATGAGGGTGCAGCCCACGGAGACCTCAGCACATCAGAGATGCCAGGACTGTGGGCTGTCCATCAAGAATGGCTGAAGAGGTGGAGAACTGGCCTGGCCTCAGCTGTGAGGCCTCAGAAGGTGAGCTGTGTGTGTTGTAGATGGCAGAGGCGGAGAGGTGGAGGTGCCCCTAGCCTTTTGGAGCCCAGAAGGTCATGAGGGAGTCTCAGATATCACAGGACACTGAGGTAGTACACGGCTTGGTTTGGTTTTGCTTGAGTTTCATTGTGGTTCTTCCTTTTGAAATGAGAAACACTTGAATTGGTGTGTGCGTGTCCGTGTCCACACGCAGGTGCCCTCTGAGGCCTGAAGAGGATGTGAAGCTGGAGTTACAGGAAGCGGTGAAGCCGCTGATGTGGGTGCTGGGAGGGAATTCAGGTCCTTTGGAAGAGCAGCAAGCCCTCCTAACTCCTGAGACATTTCTCCCCCCCCCTTTATGTTTTGAGATTCATTTTATTTTTTGTCTGTCTACATACGTGTGTGTGCACACACATAGATGCTGTCTGCTGAGGCTGGGAGAGCCTGGACCCTGGAACTGCAGTTACGGGTGGTGGCTGTGAGCCCACGTGTCGGGGAGATGCCATGTGCGTGCTGGGAACCAAACCTGGGTTCTCTGCAAGAGCAGCCAGTGCTACTAACCATTCAACTTTTTCTCTAGCCCCGTTTAATTTACTTTTTGATTTTATAGGAGCCTGTAGTTGAAATAATTTTTTTAAAAAAGAGAGCTCAGATTTTAAGTGTTGAAAATTTAAAGTCTGTGAGAGTTTTAAAGTTACACTGTTCTTTATAGTGTGTTACTTACAGAAGATCTTGAGGATTGATAAAAAGAAAGGTTGCGGCTGAAGAGTGATGCATTTGTGTGTTGAGTTGACAATCTTTGGGTCTTTTCTGACTAATGATTATGTATAAGTGTCCAGCTCACTGTGGACAAAGCCTGGCAGGTGGTTGTGAGCTGCATAAGAAAGCAAACAGAGCAAGCCATGAGGAGCAAGGTAGGAGGCAGCACTCCTCCACGGCCTCCGCTTCAATTCCTGGGCCCAGTTTTTTTGCCCTGACTTTCCTCAGTGAGAGCTGTGAGCTGAGAGCTGTGAAATGAAGGCGTCCTTACCGAGTTGCCTTTGGTCATGGTGTTCCTCATAGCAATTGAAAGGGTTTGGAGAGCGGGAGCAGAGGCGTGTTTGTTGTAGGTGATGATTAATATTTACTATTGTTTTATCTTCTAGTAATGCTGCTGTTAATCCTCAGCAGCTGTATAACCAAATCACCACACAGAGACTGGGTTTTTAGTTAACCTAGAACACAATGCTGGGCAATATTTACTCCCTCTGAAACCTCCAAGCCCTCAGTTTCCTAACATTTAGATTTCCCACATTATACTTGCTTTTTGTGAAATCTTAGGTCTGGTTCATGCTCCAAGTCCTCCAAGATCTCTCCTCCAGCTCTCTCTCCTCACTCTCCTCCCGCCCCCTTCCTCCCACTCATCTCCTGCTCTCTAGCTCCTCCCCTCTTTCCTGTCCTCTGTCTCCTCCCATTGCACAACATTGTATCTAGTTGCTTTATTTTGTCCTGTTTACACAGTTGAGACAGGATGCTTATAGTGAGTATCACAATGCAATATCTGGACTGAAACCAGAGGGGGGGGTGGTGGAGAAATCAGCATTTGAATTAACAAGGGTAAGGCGTATACATTTTAAAAGAACATTATACCAACACGTGTTTAAGAATTAGGGCTGGCAATGTGGCACAGTGGGTAAGAGTGCTTGCTACATAAGCTTGGCATCCTGAGTTTGGTTCCTGCGACCCGTACAACAGGAGAGAAGTGAATAACTGAAGTTGTCCTCTGACTGCCAAATGTATGCCGTGGCCCATGCATTCACACCCACACACTATTGATAAATAAAACATTAAAAATCCAGAAAACACAGTTAATACTCTCAGAAACAAGAAGCGACATGAAGAGAATAATGAAAGATGAACATTTAGGGAAAAGAGAAAGAGAACTTAGAAATCAAGAATAGGTCAATAGAAAAAAAAAAGCTTCATTATATGTTCCCATAAGAAAGAAAGACAAGCTGGTCAGGTGAACAGCCTGCTCCACTCTCCATGGACCAGATGGATAACCTGATTATGCTCTGTTTCCTCATTAACCACACCTTTGTCACACAGTTCACCCAGCAGCAAGGGTTTCTGGGAGATGTGTCTTACTTCTCTTGTGCTGCTATAACAGAACACCTGAGGCTGAGAGAATTATGAAGAACAGACTTGTATTTCTCATAGTTCCAAATGCTGAGAAGCCCCAGGACAAGGACCTGTTGCTGTCAGGCTTCTCTTACTTTGACCTCCAAAGGCTATGGTTTGCTTCCT